AAGAGAAAAAAAACTCAGACTGTTTTTTTAAATTAAAAACATCGACTTTGAGGTTACAGAGGACCCTCGTAAGTATTAACCGTTCCTGAGAGCTCAACTTTAGGCGAAATTATCGTTAGGCAAATTAATTTTCCCCTTAAGAAATAATGGAAATAAAATTTAACCCGTTCCCTGACCCCCCAAAGTATGCAAAAAAAAAATTCCCACAAGAAATTTAATTTTAATACACACAAACTGAAGATGACATGACAGTTACATGAATTTCCCTTTTTTGAAGTCTGGTGATGAGTGAGGGGATGGGAGGGGGGGAAAAATGTGGATGGTTTTAATGTTTAGAAGGGGAATCCCCTTCCATTGGACTTGAGGTGGCAAGCCCTTTTCTGGGTTTACTTCCCTTCTTTTTTTTAATGCCACTAGGACCATTTGAGAGTCACGGGACCTCTGCGCAAAATATCTGTCCTAGGGGGCCTGTCCCTCTCTTTCCCTTTATATTTCCCCTAAATTTTTCCAAACATTGTCAGTGTATAGCACCGCACAGCTTGCAATAGCTGTGTGAGGGTGATTTTCATAAAAAAAGGTTTGCACTTTAACCACAATGCCCACATTTCCTTAATCTTTAAATAGGCAATTCCTCAATTTTTTCTCCCCTCCTCCGGAGCAGTTTCCTCAGGTTGGGGCCCTCTTGCGTTGAAGATGATATGCAGTTCATCAGGGGTTAGTTCTTCATTGTCCCCCCTCCACCAACTCTCCACATTTTCCCCACTAACCTCCAACCCAAGGCTTCCCCAATGCCACAGGATTTCTCAACGGGCATGGATTCCCGGGTTTAGCCTAAAACCCTTCAAAATCCCTTTTGTCTAAACATTTGGCCACTTTTCTTCCAAGCAGAGTTAAAGGTCCTCTTAGTCACTTCCCCCCAAGCCTTCCCTATAATTTTTTCACAATTGAGGATGCTAAAGTAAAACCCCCCAAAACTCTTTTGGGTCAACTGATTTTTTCCGAGGCCCTACAAAGCACCTTTCAAACATCTTTTGTGTACAGATTCTTGAAGTTGGAAATGACCCGGGCCCATGGGCTGCGGAGAGGAGGGGTATTAGGAGGCAAAAACTTGCCTTAATGAAGCTCATTTCCGCAGAAAGTCGCTCTGCCACTCTAAAGGATGCCCAGGAGCATTGTCTAATCCCATGGGCACTTAAAAGGTCAAATTTTTTTTTTTAATTAGGTAATATTTCACGGGGGGGGCAAATGCATGGTGAAACCAGTCATAGGAAAAAGTCCCAGTGACCCACCCTTTCTTTTGCCCCCACAGCACAAAAAAAATTACCCTTTGAGGACATTGTTTTTCCTGAACACTTGGGAGTTTCAGGGTGATACACCAAAAAAGGCTTCATTTTGCAATCACCACTAGCTTTGGGCCACATAAAACAGGAAAGCCTGTCTTTCATGGCTTTTTCCGGGGATCCTTTTTCCTCCTGAGTAATGTAGGTCCTTTTTTGGCATTTTCATCCAAAACAGGCCTTTTTCGTCACAATTAAACACTTGTTCGGGTTTTCAGCCTTCACTGTCTTGTACTCCTTAAATCCTGCAATATTTTTCAGCGCTTTGTGGTCTGAACTGGAGCCTCCCATGCCTTATACACATGTATCCCATACGATTCTTAAATCTCTAAAAACCAATTTGCGGGCCCTTTTAAATTCACCACATCATCACTAGTGCAGGCTTTTTTTAAAATTAAATCATCATGCAACTTCCACCCTTTCCATATGACGTTTTGAGAATGCTATCTCCTGCAATCTGATTTTCTTTTATCCACACCAAAAACTCTTAACATCTTCTATCCTGTGATCTCTGTTTCAAAACTAAGTTGCCCCTTTGGCAAGAATTTTTCCTTGATTGCCTTTTTTCTTGGCCACAATAGTAGCGTGGTTGTTGGGGGTTTTTGTAAACCTGGCCAGCTCGGAGACCGCACCCCACTTTATACTTAGCAATGATTCTTTTTCTATCCCTAGTAATTCTCACTTTTTTGCTGTAGGGGGTTGGGATAAAAAGCTTTCTTTGGGGCCCCTGGTGATTATTTGGATGTGCAGCACTAAAAAGGCTGTGGGTTATCAAATGTTCCTATTGTATCTTTGGAAGGACCCCCGGGGGCTGGCTTGTAAACATGGACCCCCGGAACAGTGAGGGGGGCTCAGGCTGCACGTGGATGCCTCTTGAAAGAACCGTTGAGCGGTTTTTTACGCTAGCCGGGCAAAATTTTTGCGTTAAAATGTATCGTAGGCGGATTTAACGTTATGCGATGTTTCGTTTGGTTAGGGTCCCCTGTATTTTTATTAGTTTTTACAGTTATATTCTCGTTTTTGTAGTCATATTTTATAGAATGGGAAAATATTATAAAATGGGGGTGATTGATTGGTTTTCTATGAAAAAAAGGGCCCTTTAAAGGGCTCAGAGTAGGGGGAAAGGGTTTTTTTTTTGCGATGTTCAAGGGTAAAAAAATGGGGGCATTGTCCAATAAAAAACCAATAGCCATTCTAATGTGCAGTCATGAATGGGTTTACTTTTTTACAATTATTACAATACTGCAGTATCTGCATAACAGTAAATCTTCTATTTTTTGTTTGAATAAAAAACAAAAAAGGGAAAAAAGAGAAATATCAGGGGGCCTGGGGAACTTATGCCCCCAAAAAAAAAATGTTATTTAGAGCCCGGAATGTCTGCATTTTTCATTCTGGACCCTATTTTTAATTGGCATATTTTTTAACCCTTTGATGTTTTGGCGTATAGTTTACGCGCCAGTGTTTTGGGCGATTTACACGCGAAATTCAGCAGCTTCAAATCAAGCAGGGGAAAGCTGGTTTGGCCCACATGTGAAAGAAAAGGGTCGTTTTTGTTTGTGCACCACATAAAAAACTCCTGCAAAGCAGTGCATAATGAGAAAAAAAAAACGATTTTTTTTATTAAAACGCCGACTTTGAGGTATATTTTGTATATATTTATCGTTGTATTTTCATTTTCATGGTCTAGGGATCAAATGGAAAAAAATATTTCAGAAACAGAGTTGATTTTTATTTGTTTACAAAAGAAAACAACCTCGAAATTAACTCAAAATAGCAGAAAATTTTATTTTTTCAATGTTCAGGAGTAAGCAAATCCACCAACTCCGAACAATCAACGGGGGGGTCTAAATTCTTTCATATGCATGAATTTTTTATACCATTTTTTCAATGGAGGCAAAAGGGGAATGTTGAGAGTATATTTTACCAACGCTCTTATATGGGTGGAAACGTGGGGGATGAATGTTGGCGAGGGAAGGCTGGAGGAAATGGAGATGTCATTCTGAGGGCAATGTTGGTGTGAATATAATGCAGAGAATTCGTAGTTTGAAGTTAGGAGAGGTTCGGGATTACCAAAATGTTGTCCGAGGGGTGAGGAAGGGGTTGTTGAGGGGGTTCGGGCATGTAGAGAGGGAATGGAGCGAAACAGAAAGACTTAAGAGTGTTCAGTTGTTGGGAAAGGGAAGGGGGGGTAGGGGCGGCCTAGGAAGGGGTTGGGGGGAGGGGTAAAGGAGGTTTTTTGTGCGAGGGGGGTTGGACTTCAGCAGGCATGCTGAGCGTTTTGAAGGAGTGAATGGAGACAAAAGGTTTTTAATACTTGACTCGTTGGGGTGAGCAAAGTAAAATTTTTGAAGGGGGGTTCAGGGAAACCGGCAGGGGCCGGATTGAGTCCTGGAGATGGGAAGTCAGTGCCTGCACTCTAAGGGGGGGTGGGGTTAAAGTTGCAGTTTAAAAACTGTGTGTAAAGCACCCCTTTGGCAAGGGCAGTGATGGGTGAATGATGGTGAAAATTTTTCTTTTTTGGGGCCCCCCTGCCTTGGTGGGAATCGGCCGGTGGGGGGTAATAAAAAAAAAAAAAAAAAATTTTTAAATAATGCAGTAGTCTGAAACAGTAAATTTTTTTATTTTTTGTAGAATAAAAAAAACAAAATAGAAGCAATAGTAATATAAAGGGGGCCCAGAGAATGACAATGAACAGGGGGATATGTTATTTTAGTCCAAGAATGTTCATTTCTTTTCTGGACCCTATTTTGAAATTGGCATCGCTTTTTAAATTTTTGTAAATTGGCCAAATTGCCAATTTCTGACCACTTTTCTGGGGGGAGTTCAAACGGTTTTAAAAGGCATTCTTGTATCATCTGATAGAAAAAAATGGAGTTCTAAAGAAATACTATGAGTTTGGCAAACTGAAACAAAGGAAATTTGGCCAAAAAAAGGGTCAAAGTCGGCCAAAACCCCGATGCGATGTGTCGCCAAGACCGCTAACTTTTACAGGAGCTAAATCCGTGATTTTTTTCAGCCGAATTTTGACTTTTTGGGGTCTTTCCATCGGGAAAAGTTCTCTACATTTGTAAAAATTTTTTTTTTTTAAAAATTTTGCGAACCAGGAGACACCTCAATTTGAGGTTGCGAAGTCAAAGGGTTAATAAACATTAACAAAATTTCTTGTTTTTAAACTCTAATTTCTTATTCCAACATGTACTTTAACGAGATGGGGTTTTAATCAAGAAAGGATAGCCCGAACATGCATTTTTTGCCATACCAGGTTTTCCTGAACAAACTTCCATCCAAGGCATATGTTAAGGAACTGCTGGCATATAAATGTTATGAAGGAAAGTTTACTGATGTTTCAGTGACACAAGATAGCACAAGGATTGTTCTGAAATGGGAGAAATTAATTAAAGACAAAAGCTTTTCCCCTTTCTCACCCGGGAAAAAAACACGGGGGAAAGGTTGAGAAAATTAAACAGCAGAGGAATAGAACTTAATAAAACAAAAATATCTCCAAAAAAGCTACATTTCATGAAGAAATGAATGAGTTGTTTGATATATGTAGTTGTTTCTGTCCTGTTACCTCCTGTCAATATGTAGGGTTCAAAATAAAGGAGTGTGATAGATATCACCTGGCCTGCAATTGTGATGTGAAAGTTCCTAAATGTGACATACAGTTCCTCCTTGACCAGAGTGGCAAGAAGATGAAAATTGGCTGTGTTGACATGAGTATGTGAGATAGAATGACGGTAAAAGAGTAGCATGATGCAGCCAGAGCCAGGAAGCAGCTGGAAGAAAAACAGTGAACCAGCAGCTGGAGAAGTTTCTGATTCTGACGTTAATTCAAATGATGCCAGAGATAGACCTTCTGTCGATACTGATGCTGAATATGTCTTGAGTGGTCTGACTGCCAGCAGCTCACAGTAGAAAAGAACAAGACTTCCCACATTGGTAGCCAAATGTGACCAATACACTTGATCAGTGATGATGCTGGAGCTGCCATTGCTACCGCCACCATAATGGACTATGGCATTCTCAGCAAGGATGACGAAAGTCAAATTATTAAAACCACAGAAGTTAAGAGATGCCAGACACAAATACAGAATGGAGAGGCAAGAAAATGAGCTAGCAACTTGGAAAATATCACATAACTGTATTTTGATGGTAAGAAGACCTCCACTCATGTAATAACAAAGAATGAGAAGACCAGAAATGGAGTCCAAAAGATAGTGGAGAAAGATCATTATGTCATCATGGTGGAGCCCGGCACTGAATATCTCACTCATGTGACTCCTAGTCAGGCCATGGAAAGGAGACTGCCACAACTATATATGCATTTCTGGTGAGACAAACTAATTCGGTAGCCTGCTGTATGTTTTGGGTTTTATGACGGAACCAACGTTAATGTCGGAGCTGACAATGGGGCCACTCATCATCTTGAAATGTTGCTTGGTCATCCGGTCCATTATTTCATCTGTCAGCTTCATAAAAATGAGATGCCATTCTGGGCTGTTTTCTACCACTATGACGGTAAGCCAAGTGGTCCTGAGCATTGGAGTGGTCCCATTGGCAAGCAAATCAAGGATCCTCTGTATGAGCTGCCAGATGTAGCTTTCCAGCCAGTCAATTTCCACTTGATTTCCCTGCTCTGAATGACAAGGTGCAGAGGATCTGTCGTACGACGAGAAATACTTGTAGGAGTAGGGCCCGCTTTATGGCATTTCGCTAATACAGACATTTCAAATTATGACCAAAATCGCCATAGGGGTCCCCCCCCACCTGACTTTCTAATATGGTCACCATGCCCACCCGGTTTGTTTACATTCTCCGTGAGGCTCCGTAAGCACCACGTCTCTCCCATTATATCTGGAAACTCCAAAATTTCAAGTGTTTTTAAGTTACTGCTGTATTTTATATATAACATATCTGTGAGTGGACGTGTCAGCAGATGGGTCTTTGTAAAGATGAGGTGGAATCATAGAATTGATGAGGGGAAATAGGGTTGAGCGGTTTGCACTTAGAGTCTGTGGAGACAAAGAACTTTGTCCTTGGAGGGCAAAGAGGGGAATGTATGAGGTATTGTTTTACAAAACACTCTGTATATGGGTGTGATGATGGGTGATGATGTTGCAGCGGAGGAGCAGGCTGGAACATTAACACCCCTCTGATGGAGGGGTGTTATGTTGCAGTTTAAAAACTGTAAGTGTAAAGCACCCTTCTGCAAGACAGTGATGGAGTGAATGATGGTGGATGATGAAAGTTTTTCTTTTTGGGCCACCCTGTTGGGGGATCGGCCAGTGTGTAATAAATAAAAATAACTTACCTCTGATAAAGATACTTTTATGTATACTGTACCTAATAAACTTTTACACACTGGGCTGGCATGCAGGTACACATTAAATCACTAGAGTGTCTTATGTCTCAACACCATGTCATATTAGTAATGATAATAATAATACAGTGGACACCCCGCATAACGATGGCATCACATATCGATTATTTCGCATACCGCTTTCTTTAATTGCAATAAAATTTTGCCTCACATACCGCTTAAAAACCCGCTTTACCGATTTTCGTCCGAGACGCACTCAACATGTTCCGCCGGTGGCAATGTTTACCAGCAGCCTCCGCGTAACATCCAAGCATACAATCAGGATATATTTCTATTATTACCAGTGTTTGCGCGTGCTTTTCTGGAAAATAGTGACCATGGCCCCAAGTAAAGCTTCTAGTGCCAACCTACAGCAATAAGGGTGAGAATTACAATAGAGATGAAGGGAAAAAAGGATCATTGATAAGTATGAAAGTTGGACTATGTGCATGTCTCCGAGCTGGCCAGGTTTGTAAATAAACCCCAATCACCATCCTACTATTGGTGGTACAGCTGTGCTGCTGCTGCCTGTCAGCTGCTGCTGCCACTGTCAGTGCTGCTGGGCTGTAGCACCGTTGTTGGTGTGGCTTATTGAGGAATACCAAAAACAATTAAACCCAGAGGATTTGCCACCCAGGATTAACCCAAAAAAGTCAGTGTCATCGAAGACTGTCTTAACTTAGTTCCATTGGGGTCCTTAATCTTGTCTCACCAGGATGCAACCCATCCTGTCGGACTAACATCCCAGGTGAACAGGGAAAATGCCTGATCTAGTGCTCATATTGGTGAATTTAAAGCCAGCAAAGGTTGGTTTGAGAGATTTAAGAATCGTAGTGGCTTACACATGTGATAATAGCTGTTTGGAAAGAAAATGCCAAACAGGACCTACAGTACTCAGGAGAAAAGGCACTCCCAGGACACAGTGTCTCATCAGTCTTGCTGCATCCTTCAATAAAAAGGTAATGTGTCATTTATTCTTCATTTTTTAGTTGACTAGTAACATGCACAATATATACTGTGCATGTACTACTCTACTATTGTGCATGTATCCTTCTCTTGGTGTGTGGGAAAATGTTATATTTCATGTGGTATAAATTTTTTTTTTCATACTTTTGGGTGTCTTGCTCGGATTAATTTGATTTCTTTATTTCTTATGGGGAAAATTCATTCAACATTAGCGATTATTTCGCATAACGAATTACCCTCTTGCACGGAGGATTAAAAATCGTTAACGGTGGGCTCACACTGTACTCGACAATAATCCACTCATTAAATGTCGGAATATTATGTTAATACAACATTTTCATTAATCCATCTACCAATATGTTTTCAGAAAATTATATATAAACATGGATACGTAACATATATAGTGATAAATCCCACCCCACAGTAGAATAAATAAACATTAATATGAGATGTGGTAAGCAGATGACTTGTACGAGTGATTGCCTTATTTAGTAATGATGACAAAAATACTCAATAATAATCACGGAAGTCTCATTAAATGTCTAATATTACATTAATATTACACATTTCCATTAATGATATTTTTATCAAAACTTATATTATAAACACTATACATGTGTATTAGGATGATAAATGCACCCCACAGTAGAATAAATAACTAAATACGTAGATGTGATAGCCAGATGACTTGTACAAGGAACGGCAAGAATACGTTTTTCTCTAGTCCAACATAAGAGGAAAAATATGGTTACTGGGGGGTAACTGTAGAAATTTATTCCTTTCGTATGCCTTCACTCAGATCGTCCCATTTTCTTTTCTAAAAAATGGTGTTACATGAGGAATGGAGTGTTCCTCTGTATTTAGTCTACCAGATAAAATAGAGACACTTTGTACACAATACAACTTGTATACAAAACCCAGGACGTGTTTGCCTGGTTTGTTTAACAAAACTCCACACCTATCCTCTCTCATTGTCCTTATTCTCTCCTCTTCTCATTTATTCGTTTTATCTCCTTTACACACCCTCTGACCCTTCATTAACCCTTTGAGGGTTTTCGTTCGTATAGTACGTCTTATCGCGTTGGGGTTTTGACGTACTAGTACGCATAAATTTCTAGCGGCCTCAAATCTCGCGCGAAAAGGTGTTAGGCCTAGGTGTGAGAAATGGGTCTGCGTGGTCAGTGTGCCGCAGTAGAAAAAAATTCTGGGACCCAGTGTGCATTGTGGTATGCCCTTTAGTAAACAATGTCTCCACCATGCTCGCGGTTTAAGGAAGCTCCTCACTCCTCGGCGAATTGGGACAAGTTTGTTCCCAGTGACCTGTTCTATTAGTCTTGGACAGTGCCAGTGAAGATGATTTTGTGGTTTTAGTGAGTTTTGACCGGAAAACTAATGACATAATATCGGGTAATAGTGAGATAAAACCCAGAGACCCTCAGCCTTCCACCTCTGGTGCTGGCGCCCCTCGTGTTCACGTTAGTTGTTCCAGAACCCAGAGGAAACTTTATTTTCCCAAATCCCAGACTTTTTTTTCCCCAAAAGGAGATGAGTGCATGGGTTGATGATGTGATAGTGAATATGAACTACAAGCTCTTCCAAACTAGTTCCAGTAGTGTTAGTGAAGTGCAATATTCCAGTGGAAGCGTCAGTAATATACGACGATATATGCGCTCTGGAAGTGTGCCATATGTTATACCAAGGGGAAGGAGTGTATCTCGGAGTAATCCCGTGGCTGTACACAGAAACAGACAGTGAAATTGACGAAGATACTGTTGCAATTGGATGGAAAATGTGCTTGGTGGTAGTGGTGCGGGGTGTGACAGCAGTGGGGCCATGCTGACCACCCACGCTGCCAGCCACGCCGCTGCTCAGCTGATCTAGTACAAAGGCCACCCATCCCCCACTCCCCCACCACACCAGCCTCCACACCACAACCTCCCACAACCACAACACCTGTCATTGTCCAGTTACCCACCAGGCAGACGCTCCTGGGAATTGGCAGGAAGCTGTCAATTTTGTTTCCTAAATCCCCACCAGTTTGATGGCAGCCAAAAGTGGAAATACGGCCTCTTGTGTGCATGGGAACACTGCCACTTGAACTGGAATGTTTTTGAGTAATTCTTGACGAACCACTGATGAAAAGTATTGTCATGGGAAAGCAACACATATACGAGTACCACATGGCAAACAAATTACTTTCAACCAAAATCACGTCTACACAATGGAAGGAGGCAACTGTGGCTGAGATGGATCTTTTCTTTGCCCACAATAATGCTTATGCCACATGTGTATAAGACAAAGTGAAAAATCATACTGGTCAAAACAGGACCCCCTGATTGCAACACCAGGGTTTCAGTGATATAATGCCAGTTGAATCGATTTGTGCTATGTTACGTTTGCTTCACTTCTCGATAAAAACCAGGCCTGACAGGAACTGACAGGTTATTAAGATTAAGGAATGTGTTTGTGTATCTGAAACAGGAAATTCAGTACTCATTTTTATCCTTCAGGAAGCTTGTAATTGACGAGTCTTTGATTCTGTTCAAAGGAAAAAAATAGACTCTCTTTCAAGCAGTACATCCATGCAGAGGAAACGCTTTGGTATAAAGTTGTTTGTGCTTTGTGATTGTTACAGTGGTTGGTATTGGATATTATTGTGTACACTGGGAAGTCTTATACAATGCAAAAATACCAGGAAGTTATTTGGGCATCTCAGGTGATGTGGTTCGAAAATGATAGAACCATACCTTGGTAGGGGCCTATATTTATACAGCTAATGGTACACAAGCCCTCATCAGTGATTTTTTTGCGAGTTGTTCGTGAACATGACAGATGTGTGTGGCACAGTGCGTGCTCAAATCGGAAACAGAGGCCCAGGTTTGATGCTGGCACTCGCAGAGGTGAGGTGCAGGCGTTTGGGGGGCTGCCAATGAATCATGGCATTTCGGGGGCATGACGATACGAGATGTCACACTGTTGTCATCAATTCACCCTAATGAAATGGGCAGACAGTGAGTGGCAGGCAGCAAGAGAGAGAAATGAACCCATTCTTAACCTGCAGCTGTGATTGATTACACCTTCAACATGCGTTCAGTGGACCAAATGTGACATGAGATTGGGTTGCTGATTGTGTTCGCAAGAGTTATAAGTGGTACATCAAATGTTTTTTCATCTTCTGGACTTTCCATGCCTCAATGCTTATAATATGTATAAGATGAGCACCAGAAACAACCACAGTAACGGAGAATTCTGTTTGTCTGT